ACCAGACTACACAGCGCAACAACCCAGAAGACAGAAATCTTCATACTCTGATGACGGAGGCAGTATGATCTCTGAAACGTTGGTTAACATCGACCAGACTACACAGCGCAACAACCCAGAAGACAGAAATCTTCATCGCCCTGATGACGGAGGCAGTATGACCTCTGAAACGTTGGTTAACATCGACCAGACTACACAGCGCAACAACCCAGAAGACAGAAATCTTCATCGCCCTGATGACGGAGGCAGTATGACCTCCGAAACGTTGGTAAACATCGACCAGACTACACAGCGCAACAACCCAGAAGACAGAAATCTTCATACTCTGATGACGGAGGCAGTATGACCTCTGAAACCTTTGGCAAACATCGACCAGACTACACAGCGCAACAACCCAGAAGACAGAAATCTTCATACTCATCGCTGTGAAAACCTCAAATCATACAAGTTTAATGAATTGAAGATGAAATAAATTCTGTTAACGAAGCATGTATGGACCACATCCTACGACGAATCCACGCGAAGAGACAGGTACGTCACCTAGTTACTTAAGATACGCCTAAGTGTTCATTACAAGTGTGACATGCTATTACATAGATTCAAGTATCCTTTGTCGGTTTAGGCTGATTGCGCTGAGGAGCAGATGTTGTTAGGGGGGGGAGGCGTTCTCTTAATGTTCCAATATCTCCCCAAACCGAACTCAACAGTCTGAGCAACGAATCTTGTTTACACCCACAATGTGTCAACTCAAGGAAAGTTTCATCGAAACCAACTCAGAACAACAAGATTAGACTTAATCCTATTTTATACTTAATTACTTAATCCAAGAGCAATGTTGCTATTGGTGTTAAGGCAGAGATGGGAAACGAGGAGTGGGGAGACGGTGTATAAGCTAATTCAATTACCGAACTTACAATATTACTGAACGTGCAAGTAACGCCGCCACACGACGAGTTAGATAACTAATGTCTCGCTAAACTACCCCCAAATGTTTTACTTGAAACTTATTACCGGCGCTGTCGCCGTGGCGGATTCTGTCAAATGCACTCACAACGGCTGAGATTACGAGAAACAAAACTTGGAATAATTCGAGGTTTCGGCTTAGGGCGACCGAACTATTTATCCCCGTGAAATTTTCATGCTACGGACGACGTAAGTCTGAAGACGGTAATACAGGTAATTCAGTATTAAATAATAGTTTTGTGGAAGACACACAAAGCTTGAAAACGTAATAAAATAAATGTTTAACGAAACATTTTATTAATAAAGTTTCAAGATAGAAACCGACAATTTTCACAATAATTTTAAGTACTTCCATGGAGTACAGCCCTTCTTGAAACGCTGATAGTCGCTCAGATAGTCAAAAAAAATCCCTGTCTTTTATGTAACCTGATTGTTCATTACCGTGTTAACAACTCGCCTATGGTCATTTCAGAGACACTTGAATCCAAATCACAACCTCACATCTATTTCTTTGAGATCTCTTTTAATATTATCTCCAAATACAATACATTGGCCGGAAAGCGCTGAAGGAAAACGACCTCTTGAAAGACATAGATATAGATGAACAGATAATATTAAAATGGGTCTTAAGAGAATTATATGGGATGATGTGGGCGTGTCGCCTGGCCTATGACACGCACAATTTTTAAGCTGCTCTGAGCATGAAGTTGGTCAGTTGGAATATATTGTTACAAAACACGAAATATTTTTTTTCCAATATCTTTGCTGAAAATAAAAAAATAAAAAATAATAATCCAGTAGCCCATGTTCTGACTCTCTTATACTGAAAACGTAATCACCTGGTTTTACTGTTGACTATGAAATGCCCCTCACATTTGAATTAAACTCACACTCGATGAAACAAAACTGAAAAGTCGTATCGATTCGAGAACAGACGCACAAACTCACTGGAGAGAACATATAATAAAACTCTGCATCAATCAGATTAAATTCGAAATACGACGGTAATAATGCTCAGAATTGGATTCTGATACGTATAAAAGACGCTGAAGTTATGAGACTTCCAATTCATACTTACGAAATATGTTATACTTTCTCTAATTTTTCTGTTCATTATTAACTTATATCCGTATACATTCAAAAAAAAAATGAAATACGCCAATACAGAGAAGCAATTTAGGAACTCGAAGAAATCATACAATTTCGTAGGACGTAATATATAAAATAAATTTTATAGGAATATTCATCATTTTCGACTGGAACAGACTTGTTGCGTAGCGACAATTGATAAAACAAATACGTACACAGTAAATAATATCAAAACCAAACCTAATGACATAATATTCATACACAGATAATAAATTGTTTTAGAAACCGTATTAACAAAGTACATTTATATAATTCCTAAGACTAACTTTATATAGTTTGTAGCTTAAGTGCGTCACGTTTGTGTATAGACTGAGATAATAAATATATATTTGATTTATATAGTTTATTCAAAAGTTTCACACAAATATAATCGAAAAAATACTCCAGAAATTAAATTAATAATTTGAAAGACAACATATTATCAACTCCACTCCAAATTCGATCTACTCATTACTTCCCTCGTAAATGAATTT